TACAAAATTTAAGAAATGGAAATTTTAGAAAATKTCATTGGTTGCTTTTTCTAACCTGTGTAGGAAGGCAAGCTCAGGTATTTAACATACCTTATCTGAAAGTCAAATATCTAGAAATTCCAAGTGCTCACCTAGTGACTCAAGTATTTTGAGATTGTTTTAACAATGGAAAGGCCTTCATGTCAAGCTGTTGTAAAGCTGTCATAAAACCTGCTCTTTATTCTGTACTGTTGCCTACCAGACCTTCTACTCTCGTGCACGAAGATTAACTCTTTCAGTATCAGACCGTGCTTTACAATACATGCCTTCTCCAGTAATTTAATGCCGCCGCCTTCTTTTTTTATTAGCAATCACGTCTCAAATACGTTATCCCTTCTGTAGAAAATTTGTGTTTGCTGAGGCTTTTGCTAATGGAAGAAGTCATTAGTTTCAAGGTTACTACAATTCTTCTCATACCTTCTACTAGAACAAAGATGAAATTGTTTTAATTGGAAGATTTCCCCTTTAAGGCAACTTGGAAACTCTTTATTTCCTGCATTTTTGTTCTTATGCTGTAGCAGAGTTTAGTGGACATCTTAAACCTTTTTGTCTATTAAGGGATTTTCAAACAACCTTCTTGTATCTTCCATGCATGTCAGGTACATTGTTAATATATTTGTCTGTGGTTTATGATTAATATTTAATGTTTTCTTACTTCGTAGRAATGTCAAATTCTTCTTCAAGGTTTTATGCACTCTAGAAAAATTATGACTTTTTTWAAAAATAGCAAGATGCCTGATAGACTATCACAAATTAAAGAAGAGACTATCTTGCTTTTCGTAGACGGACTTGAAGAAAGTTATGAAAGATGCAGAGTTAAGCTTTGTCTCTTTTCACAGATGGACTCACAGAGGGAAGGTGAGCTGGATGGTGTGGAGCTACTTGCTCTGCTTTTCAAAGCACCCAGAAAAGCTGGGTTTGAAGGAAGGGGGAGGTATGTGTCATTCAAAGAAAGCCTTGCTTCCGCAGGAAGTGTAATGAGTTGCTGTCTGCAACACGTTTGAAGGTAACTATGTATCTAGACTGTCTCTAGTAACTTCTCAGCCTATTTCCCAGTTTATTTTTTTTTTAATGATGCAGAAGTATCAAAGACAGTCTAGATACACAGTTACATTCAAATGTGTGTTTGTGGATAGAGGTGAGAGCCTGGGTTTAGCTCAGGGCTGTGCGGGTGGCTGCTGGAGCACGGCCGCTTCGGTCCYGTGGGGCGGGAGCAGCAGGCCGCACAGGAAACGAGCGCTTGATCAGCTCTGCCCCTTGCAGAGTCTCTCTGGGCGTGTGTGGCTAAAAAAGGCAGTTTGCTTGGAACAGGACRATGTCTCTGCTGTTATTGTATATACTCAGGACTGCATCTTTGTTATTTACATTTTGACTGACATCATGAGGTACTGCGATGTGCATAATATGAGGCTGCTGTTTCACTTGATTCCAGTACCACCCGGCTCTCTTAAGAATGGGAAAGCAGCTTCTTATGGTTAACACAGAGCCCATGGTGGAGTGTCAGACTTGCGAGGCTGAGCTCCACACCGAAGGTTATGTCACTTCTCCTGGGAGACTGACTCATCCAGTTGAGACCTGCTTGTTCTTCCCYGGTCCAGCTGAGAAGATTTGTCTCTCGCTGTTAGTTCAACAACGCAGTCACGAATCTTGCAGCGCAGACAGTCTTGAAGGACTTTTTATGCAGTGTGAGGAAGGTGAAGGCACAAACAGCAAAGTTAGGATGGATCTTAGTAAGATGGGGAATATGGTCTTGTGCAAAAAAGAAAAAAAAAAAAAACAAACAGAAAAATCAGTCCAACAGTTTTGATTGCAGTTGCATCTTTCACAGCAAAATAAATTTCAATGCTCACAATATTTAAAATAAGTAGGATTTTTTGCCCTGTATTTCTGTCACTCTAGTGGTCAACAACAGTACACCTTCAACTTTTCAGGGAAGGACTACTGCACATGGAAGTTAACTGGCTGGGAAAAGTCAGTTAATTAGCTCCCTTGGTGACAGACTTATTAGGATCTTAAGATAAAGCAGTCTGTGTTCGAAGGGATCTTGCAGGGGTGGTTCTTGTCACTCCAAAGTACATCCCCTCTTTTGAARCACTCCTTCGTGCAGGAATAATCTTCCTCAATGAGAAATTATTTTGAAAATTGCAAGTCACTTAATTGATTGCATTCTATAAAAGCAGTTTCCTTCCTTGACTGACTGACTTAGCATTGCCTCTTTGAGAGGTAGATGTGAACAATACCATATAGTGTTTATTTGAAACACTGCACAAGCCCTTTTTCCTTTTCAACCTGTAGCATGCTCCGAGTTAACCATAGATTTAAAAAGTCTGATTTGGAGTTTTCTACAGTGGACGTATATTTTGATCCTTTCATGCTGAAATAGAAAAAAAGAATAAAGATCCAAATGGGAGAATAAGACAATTTATTATTTCTTTTAAAAATCTTTTATTGCATTTACTTGTCCCAATATTGTTTGTTTTAAATACTCTTGCCCTCTTCATCCAGTGCTTCTGACCTTTTAACAGTGTCTATTAAAGAAGAGCAACGTGGTGACCATGGTCACATGGTGACCATGTGATAATGAATCCAAACAAAAAGGGTTTTCAGAAAATACTTATTTTCGTTATTGGGAGTGTGTTGTGATGGCCTTTGAATGATCATTTCAAAGGTGTTAGTTTCTGTATAGGTTAACAGTGCAATATTGTTTGGTTGGATTTCWCAGGCTGGTAGAAATATCTCTTTTCTCACAGTGAATATTTCCATTTCTCTCTAAGTAGAGAGAATGGTAAATTAAGTGGATTTCCCAGCATTAAGTTCTTGATGAGAAGTTACTCCTATTTTGAAAACAAAATGGAATAAACTTTGTGTTTTCTTGAACATGAACATTGTTGTGACTCTGTCTGGAGTCTTGGTTTCCCTGGTGCTCTCACGATGGGGCCCATTTAAGCTCTGCCATCGGATCTCTTTTTCCCATGGACCTGAGGATCTTATCTGTACAGCTGACTGCAGGGTGGTGATGAGCAAACATTTCTTTACTATGAGTTGTTGCTTTCCTTGTAAAGAATTCAGCATATATCTGTGATACAGCTATGGATTATGTAGAAACTAACAAATTAATGAACATGTTATTGCTAGCTCTTAGTATTTTTGAAATATTACAGAAATAATTTTAAGCTGCTCACTCAAAGCTAACCAGCTAATAATCTCAGTAATGTCATCTGCAATATTTGTGAAATATTTGTGAAATGCTGTCTTTTTACAGAAAAATATTATAGGAGACTTTTGCAGTCTTCCTTGACAGAAATGCTTGTGACTCGAGCAATGTGTGTTGACCTGTAGGCAGCTCTTTCCAATTCACTTGTGAATATGGTTCATCTGTCCAGGAGGTGCTTTTACAGTGATTTATATCAAGTACASTTAGTTGTATTGTTCTGCACTTAAAAATGAAAAGTAAATTATGTTTCAAGTTTTAAATGAAGTCTCTATTTCTTCAGAAGCTGAAATACTCCATCAGGAGTAATCTCTCATTTTTAGGTCAAAAGGTAGAATTTTGCTTAATCCACATTTTTTCCACTTCATAAAATGGACCTATTTTTACATGAAAGTAATCAAATGTAGATGTTGAAGATGCTGTGTAGCTTCCYTGGGTTTTAGTAATGACGGAATATTTTACAGAGTGTGCATTTATTCGTTGTGTAAACAAATGTGAAGAAGGCTTGGGAAAGGAGTAGGTGTGGGACAGCTCCCTGGTGCATCTGCCTGCTGCAGGGCTGGAGGCTTTCAGCTGCACAGAGCTGGCTTGCATCCTTAATGTGTTTCCCACTCAAGTTTTGACAGTAGAACTATAAAAATCGTTCAGCCCTGGGTTTTTTTTTGTGTTGAGGAAGTCAGTGCAGCTACTGGAAAATCCTTCTCTTTCTTGCTTCTTTTTTTTTATTTCCTGTTTAGTGGATTTTTTTTCCCCCTCTCTCAGGGCAGCAAGTGTCCAATCTTGCTGATCTCTTTCAAATTTTCAAGTGTCTGAGTTGACTCTTTGGAGTTTTGAACTCATTTCTTCAGAGTTGGAGCTTAGTAAGTCAAATATAAGTGTCTGRAATATTATGCACCTTCCTTTGGTACAACCTTTAACTGCAAAAAAAGGTAGTCCTGTGCTGCTTATTTTTCTTTGTTGTTATATTTCTGTTGATATTTGTCACTGTTTCTGCGATCCACGCAATCAATCAAATGACTGCACTGTGTACTTAGCAAAGAATTTGGTGGCAGGACCAGGTTCTCTCAAACTTGGATCTGACTTTGTGTGTAAAATGACAACAGTATTTGCCTGCCTTAAACTGGTTTAAAACTTTACTGATGAAAAGGACTTATTGCATAAAAGCACTTTGCAGAATAAAGTGGAAAATGTTATGGTTGCTTTTCAGAACTAATTGTGCAGGGATAATTGCAGGGTAGAAGAAGGATTTTAGAACAAGTAAAAGCTGGGAAAACTACAGCTTCTCTGTAGTTTTTAGCATGGCACAAAAGTATGACTGAGTTGCTTTAATATCGATGTTTAACATAGCTCCAAAGTTAGGATTGAAGGCTATTTAATTTCCCCAGTTGGTATAGCTAGCACAGGGCACCATTGTGTGCCACATGCCGTGAAGCAGCTTCATAGACTCGTGCTGCTCAGGTCCAGGTTGTCTCCGCTTGCAGAAAAGTGGCAGAGATAATGACAGATTCTCACTATGTGTCAATGCAGTGGAGCTCTGAAGACTTGTAAGGCTGCCATATTCCTTGGCTTTCATTCTAAATTACAGCTTTTAATAAAAAGGAGGAGAGAAACCTGTCAGGAGTAGAGCCAAGAAAATCTAAGGTTGAAGCCTGTTTGTCTTTTCTCCCTCGATCTTCTTCTATTATTGATATAGAAAATATGACAACTAAAAATGTTAACAGTAAGCACTTTTCTTTGTCTCATCTTGCAGGCCAAAGGAACAGCAGCAGAACAACTTTTCCCTGTTTCCTTCTACTAAGGGCTGGAATTTCAGAGGGGTAAGTTTCGTGCTGTTTTGTTTATATTATCTATAGCATTCCCATTCTGCTTCACCTATTGCAGCGTGACTTTGTACTAGTCAGAAAGGCAAGTAAGTACTAAAAGCATGGCACGATAATTGCAGAATGCAAGTTTAAACTTTGTAGCTTCCTCAAAGGCTTTCTGGCTTAACTTGAAGAATGGGAGAGCCAATTTAGCCTAAGTGAGTTAACATAGTGTGATTTTAAAATTAAATTAATGAGTTTTCACATCTGAAAATGTTAACAAAGCTAAAGTGATATACACAGTGCTTTTTTTGTATAATATGATTCCTGTAAAAAGTCACTTATTTTGAAAGCTTACATATACACATTTTGTGGGAGCCTGATTGAGCAATGATGAACATTGGCAGGATTTACAACAATCCAGGAAAAACAAGAAACTTTTTTTGTCTTATTGGTTATCAAAGCAAGTCAATGTGGAAGCATGTGTATTCCCACAATCACCAAGTAAAGAGAAACTTGAGAAGTGCAAATGAAATAAAACAGAACCAAAATACTTGCTAACACTATGAGTTCATGTCTGCCTTGGGTTGCATAAGAGCTTTACTATTATATGCACTTTGTGTTCAGCATATAGAGGTTTACCTATTGCACTTTCACCTATGAATGTGAACTGATTTATGTTGGACCTCAAGAATTTGGTTTAGTTCAGCAGAGCATTTATGAAGATTATATGTTTTATTTATATGGCATGTTGGAGATGCATAGCACTTCATTTTTGAGGAAATTTGTGCATTGCTAACATAGGTAGTTGGATGTTGTAATATTGTATGAAATATGTATAGCAATCTGCATTTGTATTTCCAAATATTAATATTTTGAAATAAACTGCTATTGCCTCAAGTAAGTATGTCTATCAGTTGTGCACTGGAACTGTTTCAATGCTAAAATACAGAGACAGTGGAGCACTGCACAACAGAAACAAGTTTCTATTGGCACTTGCAATGTGTCATCATCAGCCTTGTTTTGATGGATGGAAAAAGTGTGTTATGAAAATCCCAGTGAGGAGAATTCAGATCACAAAGATTTTGATTCAGATGGTGAATATGAAAAGGTTAGTGGTGTTTCATTTCAGGTGGGAGTAAAACCACATTGGGTAAAAGAACTAAGTCAGTTTTGATGATGGAACTGTCAATGATTGGGTGCTGCCACCCTTGAGTATAACAGACAAAACCTTTGAACTGGTTTGTTCAGAACTAATGACTTATAAACATCACTAAACTGACATGTGTTTTATTTGCAAGTTCTCACTTTGCAGTCAGTTCACTGTGTTTAAAATGTCTGTCTGTATCTCCGGCTGATGGAGTGGGCTTGTTAAAGCATCAGTCAACATACACTAACGTAAACCCCAAAATAAGATAAGGAAGGCCCAGATACCAAACGTTTACCAAGGAAACTCCTCTGCACTTCTGCTTGTCTTTTATTACTTAAAAAAAAAAAAAAAAAAAAATTGATCAGAAGAAGGCACTTTTTTTTTTTTAATTTTCCATGCTAAGCTTTTCTTTTGAGTCTCATGGTTAGAGACCATATTTTTTTTCCCCATGGGGATTTCCATGTATCTAACAGTTATGCAGTTTTAGTAAAGGTGAGCTGTGCATTTTTGCTTTGTATATGTCTGTGTGTAGGTACTGCTGGAGAAAAAGAAAGCTGGTGCTGTCCTTTTTAAGTAACAGCAGCAATTACRTTGAGATTTTTGGGACAAAATTCCAGGAATCAATGGAAAAAAGAGTATTGATTTAACAGGGGGGAAATAAATCATGTGTTAAATGAAGTTCAAGGTTTTTACCAGATAGGGCTGATGCTCAGCCCTATGTGGATTCTGCATTTACACATCAGACAGCAACTTAATTTTTGAGAAGATCGTATGGTCAAGTGCTTGTCAAGTAGAAGAGGACATTAGAGGGGCAATATTTATGATCCTAACTGTAATTTAGGAGCGTCAAAAACATAGAACCTGTAGGGGCAGACAAAAAACAGCAGGAGTTGGAGGGATGGTGTAATAAGAAAGCTGGAAAGCCGGAGGTTATGGAGCAGATGTGATTGGTAGGCTGAAAGAAGAAGACTGCAGAGGAAGATGGGAGGTTACAGAGGTGTAGTTGGAGAACAACGAGGAGAAAAAGCAGTAGCTTGAAAAGAGGAGCTGTCAGGATGGGAGAAAGCAAAAGAAGTGGAAGTTGAGGGAGAAAAAGYGTGGAGGGGGACGAAGCAGAGAGATGGAGGAAAACTATTGGGTGTGAAAGCAAAGATGTGAAAATGAAGAGGAGAGAGCCCAAGTCTTAAAAAGCYGTCGGGGTGTATCAGCTCAGCCTTTGGACAAGCTGGCTGGAAGATACTGTGTTGACTGCAAGTGTTGAATTGGAAAATAAAGATGACATGTGGATTGGAAGTAACTTGGGGCCAGGCCTTGGTAAGAAGGAATGTGAATATCTGATGGGATGGTGCAACTCAGTGCCACATGCTGTTCCTAGTGCATATACAGGTCAGTGTGTGTAAACAACRTGTAAAGTCACCACATAATGTGTAAAATTCAGTTTATTTTAATAAAATTCCTCGAGAAGCTTGTGCAGTTTTGCAGCTACAGTTAGAAGATGCCAGGATGATTGTTTGCTGGTTAAGATACAAACTTGAGTTACGTTCTTGTATAATTGGAAAAGCTTATTTTTAAGGAACTTTTGAATCCATGCAGACAAAAAAAATCTCTCCTGAGTAGTTTGAGAGTTCAGTTTCTTTCCATCTCCCCTTGACTCATCAAAATCACCCACTTTTTATTTCCACTTGCCAGATAATTTTCTAGACTGTCTTTAGTTAGGCGAATGGTGGGCATGGAAGCCTTTACATGCTTTTTTTCCCACCCCCCCCATGATATATTTAAGTATGTTTGCAAGCATGGTGGTTTGCAGCCACTGTTGACATGGTGACACTTAAGCTGGCTGTGGAGAAACCTGCAGAAAATCAAAATGGCCACCTAGTTAGCAGAGAAGGTGTTGGAAGAGGATATAGGTTTCCTCTCTGCTTATCACTGGCACAGTTCTCCATTCTTTGCCCCAAAGAGCTGACATCATTTCCTCTGTGTTTTAAACAAACGTTTGGCTCTATTAAAAAAAGCTGTGGTGACTTATCTTCTTTTCCTACTCACTCAACCTGGTAGAACAACTGAAATGCTATAATTAAATAAATGAACRAACAGTGAAATCTAAGTCAACTTTTTCTAGTTGAAATATTTTATTGGCACATGCTTGGTGTGCAGTTGTCTGAAGATTGAAGACAGTTTACTGCAACTGGGCTTCTTTCTATTTCCTCCTCTTTCTCATTTCCTTTTTAGCTGTGCRAAGGCATTTAAATAACCAAGCAGCAGATGTGGTCACCTGTGGGAAAGGCTCATCTAATTTATCAGAAGCTTGCCACAAAAAGGTGCTAACTGTGCTGAAGATAACTTTGAAATTCATACGTGGTTTCTGTGCTTGGAGCATGTGTGTGTCTAGGGCAGGGTGGGGGGCTGACAGGGAAGGGGCTCTCCAGCCTGAGGGGAAGAATTCTGCACTTGCTGAGAGCAGTATCTACGAAGGGTTCTTTGGTTTGTGTTGGTATTCCCTTCAGGTATGCCTGCCTAAGCAAGATAAAAGTTGCCAAGAGTTTTTCTTTGCTTGCAACTTGATGGTTAATTGTAGAAAAGGACATTATCAGGAAAAAAAAATGAAAAGGCAGCAGTCTGTCTCTCTTGGATTGTTTAGGCAGGAGTGTTACCAATGCCAGAGACTCATTAAAAGTGGTATTAGACAGTGGTATCATTATTCATACTTGTTGATGCAAAATCTTACTGATTTTTGATCAAATGTGCTTAAACACCATTATTATAATAAGGACCAATGTAACCCCAGTATGATTTTAAAACACAAGTTATTCTATACATTAAAAAGAATGTATCATTTTCTATTATTTCGAAGTACCTAGTATTTGTGTGCATTCTTTCAGTAGGCTTTTACTCGGGGAGCGTAAAAAAGTTTATTTTGCCTAGTTAACATTATAGCTCTCGGTGAAATAGTAGCACCTATTGCTACAAACTTTCTGCAATGATGCTTTTATTTGTTTATTTTATTTATTTATTACTGTGTAATGGCAGGTCCCTCCACGAGGGGGGGTCTTGCTGGTGTCTCAGGCGTTGTAGGCCAGGTCTGTTGCTGTTTGCTCCTTCCTTTCCCTCTGTGGATGGCTTATTGTGGGTTTTTTTTTTTTCCTGCTCTCTTGCAGCTAATTAAAAGGGTGGTAGGTGTATACTTGAATCCTGATCTTTTCCTTTTCTCTTTTTCTCTTTGAAACGGAATGCAAATTCCATATCTTCCCCCTCTTTCTCTTCCTGCCCCCCCCCCCCCCCCCCCCCCCCCCCCCCCCCCCCCCCCCGCCAATTTTCCAGTGGCTGATGTATTACTGTGCTCTGCCTTCTTCTCTTAACTCTCCTCCTCCTTTCTTGGGATTGTCAGCCCTGCTTCACAACYGAGTTGTCCCAGCATTTCCTCCTCTCTTATCTTGTCGTGGTGGAAGTGCTCTAATGTCTCTGTCCAGCAKTGAGCTTTCTTGGGCCAGGAGGTCGCTGAAATGTGGTGTTAGCAATTCTTTATGTTGCTCTGGGTTAATGTATTGGGAGAGGRATCCTAAACAGTACAGATGAGGCTGAATAGGAGCTGAGTGTCTGTGTAGCCATGGGTGAAACTTTACTTCAGTCTGTTGATAGAAGCCACGCAGAGAAGTATAGGAATGTTAACAATTGCTTTGCATGGCAYACAATTTATAACTTGTAAGACTAGAGCTCATTATTTTCAGCAAGTAGACAGCTTGGACACTCATCTTTATCTGTAAAAACTGGTTTTGATGCCCTCCTGCTTCATCTATGGAAGGATTTTGAAATATTTTAGCTTATTATTGGTTTTGTTTTTGAACAAACCATTAGAACTGTTGTTGAT